TTGTTGGGCTTTTTTTTTTTTTGCTTATCAAATTTTCTCAAGCTGTTTTTATCAGATTGGCTACTTTATCGTTAATATTCGGAGGAAAAGATAGTACAATCGGGTTTATAATACTTTACTTAGTCTAGGTAAAAATAAATAAATAAACATTTAGTTTATTTAACATATGCTTTTGATAACAAATAATAAATAATGGATTAATAATGAATCGACTCTAAATTCCAAGAAAAGAATTTTTCCCATTTAATACTAGTCTTAAGATTTATTTATCGAATGATTTTGATAAATAATAAATTTCATTGGTCTTTATTATTATTTTTCTATGAATTTTTTATGATGTTTTTAAAAAATTAAAAAAAGAAAAAAAGAACCCTTGTTGTGGACAAAAACCCTTGTTTTGGACTTGTGGAAGTTAAAAGATATCTAAATGAACCAATTAATTTATTTCAATAATTTCCGTGTGAAAATCATGTACCCTAAAAAACATCCATCAATAGATTATACTGTATATCTTTTTTATCATGATCTTTATTCTTCTTTTTTTTTCATAAATCATTAAATCATAAATCATTATCATTAAATCATAAAATCATAAAATCATAAAATCATAAAATCATAAAATCATTAAATCATTAAATCATTAAATCATTAAAACGAATCTCTTTTTTTTCTTTTAAAATGATCATCATGAAACAAAAAAAACATAAATAATAATCAATCTTCAAATAAAATTTTCTTTATTAAGTATGATATTCTATAGGAATGAATAATCCTGAATTATTTTCGGTTCAACCAATACCAAAAATTCAGAACATTTTCACCGAGACTATTTTAACCTTTTAACCTCCCCATCAATCAAAAAGAAGATATTCTAATGAAAGAAAACTTTTAAAGTAAGAAAAAATTTTTTGTATAATTTGTATATGTAATGTTTATTTTTTTTCTCGGTTACCTATTTATCTATCTATAAAGAAGATTTTCATGTTTCAAAATATGTTTTATATAATGTAATATGTATTAGCCACAAAAATAAAAAATATATAAATTTTTTTTTTATTAATGATATCATGATCGTCCGACATTGGGGCTTTTCAAAATTTCTTGGGAATGTTTATCAAGAAAAAACTTTATTCCTTATCTCTCAAGATAAAGTAGATAAAGTATTTTTTTTGAACGTTTTTTTTTCGAAAATCTCAACCAATTAATTAAACTATAAAAAATTTTGTCCGAATCTAAAAAGTTTAAAATGATTACAATTTTAGTAGAATAATAATAAGAATAATAATAATAAATGATAATAATATTTAAAATTAATATTAATTAAATAATAATAATAATTAAAAAAAAAAATTATGTAATTTTTTTTATTTATTTATTTTTTTATTTTCTTTTTTAAAAAAAAAAACATATATTTTTACTAGAAATGGTTTAATGAGAACCTAATACCGTT